GCTGTGGGACAGGCCAGGCAGGGAAGGGCTGTGGGACAGGCCAGGCAGGAGCTGGCAGGCCAGGCTGGGTGGGAGATGGCGGGACAGGCCATGCAGGAGATGTAGGGATGGCAGGGAGGCCGCGGGCAGGCTGTGAGAGCCTGGCACAGACACACGCACACACACGCACACCCTGCACAACGAGGGCACGTACCTCTGTCCTCTCTGGCTCCTCATGCTGTGCCTCCTCCTCGCTGCCATCCTCCATGTGCCATCCATCCTGCCCTGGCCATGCCGTGCCTCCTTTTTGCTGCCATCCTCCCTGTGCCATCCATCCTGCCCCAGCCACGCTGATCCTCCTCTTCACTGCCCGTCCTCCATGTGCCATCCATCCTGCCCCAGCCATGCCGTGCCTCCTCCTCGCTGCCATCCTCCTTGTGCCATCCATCCTGCCCTGGCCATGCCGTGCCTCCTCCTCGCTGCCATCCTCCTTGTGCCATCCATCCTGCCCCGGCCATGCCGTGCCTCCTCTTCACTGCCCGTCCTCCATGTGCCATCCATCCTGCCCCGGCCATGCCGTGCCTCCTCCTCGCTGCCCGTCCTCCATGTGCCCGCGCTGCCAGAGCCTCCTCTCCGCCGCCGCTGGGTTTTGGCCCCCGCTGCCTGCTGGCGTTTTGGCAGCCTCGCTGCTCCAGCGATGGCATGTGTCCATTATTTTTTTTTCTCTGCTCTCTCCCTTTCACAATCCGTCCTCCCCAGCCTTCTCTGCCGGTGCCTCCGGAGCCGCCTGCGGTGCCAGCTCGCAGGGAAATTGGCAGCGAGCGCGGCACAGGGATCCTCCCGCAGCTGACGGAGCCCTGCCAGGCGCAGGCAGCCCTTCTGCCAGCCACCAGCCTTGGCACGGGGGGCCGGGGGGCTGCGGGGGGCTGCGGAGCCTTGGCAGCCCTTCCCCGGCACGGCGCGCCCCGGCTCCGCTGCCAAGCGCCAAACGGGGGGAGGAAAAGGGGAGAGGGCAGAGAAAGGAGTTGGCATCGCCGTGCCCGGTGGCTGGGACCCACCAGGGACCCCTTCCCTTCGCCAAGGCCAGCTGGGCGACGTCCTGGACCTCCAGAGCCCGTCCGTGGTGCCAACGTCGCGGGCAGGGGCTCAGCCCCGTGTGCCCCACGTTGTGCCCCCAGCCTGGTGGGGAAGCCATGGCAGGGGTGGCAGGGACGGCAGGGACGGCACGGATGGCACGGATGGCAGGGATGGCAGGAGCCGGCACAGCCCAGCGACGCTGCGTGGCGAGCACGGCTCCCACAGACACACCTCTTACCCAGCATCCGTCTGCTGCACAGGGGGGCCCGGGAAATTGGGAAGGGGAGAGCGGAGGAGGGACTTGTGGTGATGGGTGGGGGTTTTGGGGTGCCCTCTGGCCGCGTGCCGCCTGGCACGGCCATCCCGGCCTCGTGCAACGGAGCATCCCCAGCTCGTGCCAAATCGTGGCTCAGTCATGCCACGGCTCCATCCTGGCCAGACATCGGCGTGGCAGCCAACCCTGCTTTCCCAGCTCTTCCTTCCAAAGCTCCTGGTTTGGGTGTCCTTTTGGAGGTAGGAGTGGGTATGTGGTTGTGCCCTTACTGCAGTGTGGCTGCTCCTGGTGCCAATGCCTTTCAACCCCCCTCAAGAGCTATTCCCCGTCACTCTAGCCGCAAAACCCCTGCTCTTTGGAAGTAGAAGTGGGTGTGTGGCTTGTGCCTCTGCTGTAGCGTGGATGCTCCTGGTGCCAATGCCTTTGGAGGGCCCCTAAGCCCAAGGGAATGGATGGGAATCGCCAGGCAGGAGGCAGGGAACAGTTCCTGCTCAGCTTCTCCCAAAATGAATCATTTACTGGGAGCCACATCCAGTGGGGCAGGCACCAGGAGCACGCAGAGAGCAGCGGCCATCCCTGGCTAACAGCCTTGCCCCTGATCAGGGAAGTCTTTATGGAGTCTTTGCCCCTATTCAGGGATGTCTTTATGGAGTCTTTGCCCTTGATCAGGGATGTCTTTATGGAGTCTTTGCCCCTGATCAGGGATGTCTTTATGGAGTCTTTGCCCCTATTCAGGGATGTCTTTATGGAATCTTTGCCCCTGATCAGGGAAGTCTTTATGGAGTCTTTGCCCCTGATCAGGGATGTCTTTATGGAGTCTTTGCCCCTATTCAGGGATGTTTTTATGGAGTCTTTACCCCTGATCAGGGATGTCTTTATGGAGTCTTTGCCCCTATTCAGGGATGTCTTTATGGAGTCTTTGCCCCTGATCAGGGATGTCTTTATGGAGCTGGCAGGAGGAGCCAGGAGCCCTCCATGGGCAGGATTGGCTGTCAGTGGGTCCCACTGGCCCTTCCCATCCTCCTGCCACGCTTTCCCGGTGCCCCTGGCACATCCCAGCCCGGGGATGTGGCATCTCCTGGGATGGCAGTGGTGTTTGTGCCATCCCGACGTGCCCCGTGCCCCCGTGCCCCGGTGGCTGTCCCGGCCTGCCCGTGTCACACGTGCGCCCGCCATTTCCTCAGATAAGCAGCTAATCTCCATCAATCATCATTCCGGGCAATTATCATAATAGGGCCATTTTGCACTTATCCTCGCCACGTGACGCAGGAGCCACTTAGGGCTGCACTTCGCTGCGAGCTGCTCCGGTCCCCGGGGAGTCCCCACGGCAATCGTGTCCCCTGCAGGGCCCTGGGGACACAGCGGCCCTGCAGCGGCGCGGGCATGCTCGTGCGGGAGGGATGCAGGCAAGGAGGGAGCTCTGAAACACGGGGGAAAACACAGGGAGAGCCTGACCCTGCCACGGGAGCAGCAGCAGCACAGGGTTAAACCCGAATTGGGGACACTCCATCTGCTTTCTGCCACCATAGGGCCCTGGTGGCATCGGGTGGTGCTGATCCCACGTGGCTGTGGCAGGGGACAGGGCCAGCAGCCCCTGGTGACCTTCAAGCCTGGCAGGGAGCAGCTTAGGGAGGCTGGGAAGGCACCAGGGCTTCGGTGGGGATTAGGGGCCAGCAGATGGAGGGAGATCAAACGTTTCACTGCCCCTTGTTTACAACATCCTGCTGGGATGGGGACCCCCAGCACTGCTCTGGCTCTGTCCCTCCCAGGGCTGGGGCAGGATGGGGATAGGGACACACTTCCATGGTTTCGGGGTGTCCCAGTGGGATGAACAGGCTCCCACCTTGCTGTGCTGCATCCTCACTCCAAGCAGCGCCACAGTGGAAGCTGCCAGTGCCCCCATCCCATCATCCCATCCCATCCCATCCCATCCCATTATCCCATCCCACAGCACTGCAATGAACTCTCTGTCACCCTGAGCATTCCCTCACCCCGCAGTGTTTGTGCTGTTTACACCACCCCAGTAATTACTTCCCTTTTTTTCCCTTTAATAAATACGGATGCGCCACAAGTAAACTCCAGCGCAATGAAAGCTTTCTGCTGGCTCCATAATTAACCACCGAGCTGAGCAGGATGAGGAGGGCAGGCACAAAACCCTCCCGTCTCCTCCGGGGCTGCGGGCTCACACTCGGCTGGGAGGGACCCGGGAAATCACGATGGCAGCTTGGGGACAGCCCTGGGGACCGGGGCCGGGTCTGCTGTGAGGGCACTTCCCTTCCCTTCCCTTCCCTTCCCTTCCCTTCCCTTCCCTTCCCTTCCCTTCCCTTCCCTTCCCTTCCCTTCCCTTCCTTCCCTTCCCTTCCCTTCCCTTCCCTTCCCTTCCCTTCCCTCAGCACTGTCCCCGGGGACATGGCTGGCTCCAGATGGCCGCTGGCACCAGGTAATTACAGGTTGGGGTGGCACAGGGTGGCTGGGGTGGCATCAGCTGTGTGTGACATCCCGGCCAGCTGGCCCTGCCGCCCTCGGCGGAAGCACGGCCCTGTCACCCCCACGGGGAGGGTCCCGGCTGGAGGGGCTGCTCCTGGCTCGTCCTTGGATGTCCCAGTGCTGTCCCCAGCTCTGTGCCCGCTGTCCCTGCCAGTCCCTGTGCCACCACTGGGGGGTTGGCACCAGAGAACCCCTGTGGGCACATACCCGGGGGAGGGGGCTCATCCCTGTGTGGAGAGCTGTGCTATGGAGAGCCATGCCATGGGGAGCCGTGCCATGGGGAGCCATGCCATGAGGAGACGTGCCATGGAAAGCAGTGCCATGGGGAGCTGTGCCACGAAGAGGGAGCTGTGCCATGAGCAGGGAGCCAGGCCATGGAGAGCCGGGCCATGAGGAGGGAGCCATGCAGGATTGTTGGGTGCAGGTGTTGGGTGCCTCCCCCAGCGCTGGGATCCCGGCCCCGTTTCCGCTCCCAGCCCTGGTGGAAACACACCTGGGGGGTGGGCGGGGGTCACCGCGGCCGTGCCGCTTCACGGCCCGCTGGGCACAGCCGGGGCAGCTCGGCTCGGTGTGCCATGGGCCGTGTGCCATGTGCCACCATAAGACCTCTGTGCAGCCCCACATGGCTGTGTGTCCCCAGGGTGGCTGTGTGTCCCCTGTGCATCTCTGGGATCTCTGTGCCCCCTGGGATGCCCATGTGTGAATGCTCCATGAGCCCAGGCCATGCCTGCCCCCTGCCCACACCCCCAAATCCCCACATCCCCCAGACCAGGCCCATGGCCCCAGACCCGCGGGGCACAGCTGGAGCTCCACACCCGCCCACCATGCCATCCGAGGGTGACACTCCGGGGCCTGCAGGCAGAGTCAGCCCCGCGGAGTCCCGGCCCCGCCCCCCGTGGGCGTTTTGGGGCCAAATCCCTACAAATGAGGCACGGCCTGGCGGAACGTTCGTGCGCGGAACGTTCGAGTCGCGGCGTCGCGTTCCCGCCGGAGCTGTGCGCGGCCGGAGCGGTCCCCCGGCGGCAGGTGAGGCCCCGCGGGGCTGCGGGAGGCGGCGGGGCCGGGATGGGACGGTCCCGGGATGTCCCAGAGCCGAGACGAGCCGGGGCCCGCTGCCCTCGGCCCGCTGCGCTCGGACCGGGCCCTCGTTCCCCGCGGGAGCCGCTGGCTGCGGGGCCTGCGGCGGGGCGGCCCCGGTTCCTCGGAAGCTCGGCGCGGTTTGTGCCCGTTCCTGCTCCGGGATGTGCCGTGAGTAGGCAGAGAGCTGCAGGGGGGAATCCGGAGTGAGAGGAGAATAAAGCCCTGAGGGTGGGCAGGCCCTGGCACAGGTGCCCAGAACGGCCGTGGGTGCCCCTGGGTCCCCGGCAGTGCCCAAGGCCAGGCTGGACAGGGCTGGGATGGTGGAAAGTGGGACTGGATGGGCTTTAAAGCCTCTTCCAATCCAAACCTTTCCCTGCGTTTTGTTTTGTGAGAAGGAAAGAAGTGTCAGCATCTCAGCCGTTATTTGATGCCTTGTCCAAGTCCCTTAGTTATTTTATGATTTTCTAAGAATGCAGTATTTTATCTCTGTTGTAGAAACAGCCAGGAATCCTTTTGTGCTCCCGTGCCTGTAAATGAGGAAAGGGTGGAGTCCTGCAGGTCAGGCTCACCCTGGCAGCTACCCAGTCACGGCTGGAGCCATGATTATTCCTGTAATAACTCACTTTGGAACAGCTCAGAGTAGCTCCAAAGATCATTCTCCTCCAGGAAATGCATTTTATGCCCTTTGTGCTCAGAAAGTGCAGAGGGCTGTGCAGTGGGTCAGCTCCCAGCTTGCACGGGTTTTGTTGTGCTGGGAGCTGGGGAGAGCCCTCCAGCTGCTTTGAGATCTTCAGCCTTAGGAGGAGGAGGAGGAGGGCTTGGATTTTTTCCTTCCAGGGGATTTGAACCTTCCCTTCCAAGGCAGCAGAGCCACATCTCTGCCCTGCCTTCACCTTCCCAGGGATCCAGGGACAAGCCTTGTTTCCAGGTATGCTGTGCTGGAGTTTGTGCCACCAATGGTCCTTGACCAGCAGGAGGGGATGGCAAACAGCCCCTGGATTTACCCCATGTGTAAATGGGGTAAATCTGCAGCCCAGCTCTGGAACACCCAGCATTCCCAGGCCTGCTGGAGGTGCTGCTGTGGATTGCTCCATTAAACACAGACTGCTGGGATGGGGTAATTTGATTTTTGGAAGGAGCTGGAGGAACAGTGAGAGCAGTGAGAGCATCGGCCACGCTGGTCCTGGGCAAAACCAGCTTTTAGTTCATGCTCCTCATCATGCTCAGGGCACTGACACCTTGCCATGGCCACAGCTTCACTTTAGGGTGAGAATTAGGCCAGGTTTTTGCATTTCAGGCTCTCCAGAGCAATGCAGAGACATCACATGAGCTCTGCCCTGAGCTGCTTTGTTTTTTTCCATGCCGGTGGCAAACGTCGGGAGTTCCCACGCTCACCCGCTCTGGGGCTGCAGCCTCTCTGCTCCCCCAGATGTTTCCACCCTAAATCACCTGCTTGTTTTGCAGAAGCAGAAATTGAGGTCGATTTGCAAAAGAAGATGTGAGCAGGGCCGGTGTCTGGGTGGGGAAATGCTCCGAAGGCGCAGGGGAGCGACCGCAGCGCTCACGGAAAACGAACTGTGCGTGCAGTCTGTGCAGCCTGAGCTGGGGCAGGCCTGGTCAGCTCTGCCCTGGGGGGCTGCTGGGCTGGCTCCCCTTTGTTCCAGCTCCTGCCCACACTGGGGAGCTGGGCTGGGAGGCTCTTGGAGCTGAGCTGCTGCGCTAATAGGCGTTTATCAAAAGTAACAGGGGAGATCAGGTTGTTATTGGCGACGTCAGGGAAGTGTCACGGACGCTCTCGGAGAGTGAGAACTTGTCAGCCTTTGGCTGCCTCCTCTTGTCATGGAACCTCTCTGGGGATGTTTTGGTGCTGATTGGATTCTGTGCAGCAAATCCCTCCCTCTCTCTCCTGCCACAGCCCTGTGCTCTCCTCTTGCTCTCTGTTGCTGTATGGAGGGTGTACCAGGCTGTGCAGAGGGGTTTCGGATTCTTCACAGAATCGTGGAATGGCTCGGCTTGGAAAGGACCTTAAAGCCTTTCTCATTTCACCCCCTGCCTGCCAGCAGCCTGGGACACTGGGAAGGTGTCAGGGGGTGGAACTGGGTGGGCTTTGAGGTCCCTTCCAACCCCAACCATTCTGGGATTCTGTGAAAGCTGGTTCATCATTTAAGTTAGCTGAGTTTTAGGGGCTGGGGGCTGTGCAGGGAAGGATCTCTGCTCCTGTTCCATCGTGCCAGGACCCAGGGATGCTCAGGCCGCCCAGCATGTGGCACTCTGAGGCAGGGACATAAATAATACAGTGGATATTATTCAGATGAAGGCTGCCACTTTGCCTGGGTGGGAATAACCCCCTGGGCAATCCCTGCCCTGCTGATGTGCCATCATTGCTCTCTGCAGAGTCGCTCCAGCCCGGCAGGATGCTGCTCCCCCTGCTCTGCCCCCAGCACTGCCGGCCCCTCCGCCGCCTCCTGCGGGCCCTGTCCCGCTGCCCACAGCATGGGAGCAGGGCTGGCTGTCCCCACAGGGCTCTGCACACAGCCTGGGCCCCCTGCAGCAGTGACATCGCCCCCGTGTTCACCAGGGCCCCGGCGTTTGGGGACAAAGTGGCCATCGTGGACCGGAACGGGGAGCACACGTACCGGGACCTGCTGAGCCGCAGCCTCCGCCTGTCCCGGGAGATCTGCAGCGTCCTGCAGTGCCCCAGCAGGGACCTGAGGGAGGAGAGGATCTCCTTCCTGTGCCCCAACGATGCCTCCTACGTGGTGGCCCAGTGGGCTGCGTGGATGAGCGGGGCCATAGCGGTGCCCCTGTACAGGAAGCACCCGCTGCCCGAGCTGGAGTACGTGATCCAGGACTCCCAGAGCGCCCTGCTCGTCGCAGCCGAGGAGTTCCTGGGCAAAATAACCCCCAGTGCCCAGAAACTGGGAGTCCCTGTGCTGCCCCTTCCCAGCTCTGGGGCTGGTGGATCCCCTGCAGCCACGGAGGAGGGGCCCTTGCCGAGCTGTTCCTCGTGGAAGGACAGAGGAGCCATGATCATCTACACCAGCGGGACCACGGGGAGGCCCAAGGGTGTGCTCAGCACCCACGAGAACGTGCAGGCTGTGGTGAGTGCTGCTGCCCCCCTGCCAGGCTCCTGCCAAGGCACAAAGCCTTGGGATCTGCAGGGGATTTGGGGTTGCAAACACCTTTCCATTGCCAGATTCCTGCTGAGAGCTGTGGGGCTGCAGCTTGGAATCCCCCACGCTGGGAAGGTGAGCACACAGCAGCGTGTGAGGCTCTCAGCCTTGGCAGGGCAGATGGATTCTCCTCCCTGCTTTCCTGGAAAGCAGAATGGATGAAACCTGTTGTAAAAAAATCTGATTTCTTTGCAGTTTGCTTTTCTGCGCTCCGACTAGGGGAGAATCTTTGCTCCTAATTGGAAAATATCTTAGCCCAGCCCGGTGCTGTGTGAAGCCTGTGCATTATTCAGCTCTGTATCCCCAAGGCAAAAAAATCCATTAGCTCTCGGAGCCAAAAGGAATTAAAAGTTTGAATAAGCCTGCTGACTGCCTCACCACTTGGTTATCAGTGCCTGCAACTGGCAGCCTGCTGCCATTAGGAAAGGAGGGCAGGGAATGCAGGGTGCCCTGAGAGCTGCTGCTGCTCGGGGTGCTCGGATCCTGCAGGGTCCCAACAGGAATGAAAGCCTTGATGGATGGAGCCAGGCCTTGGCTATATTGGGCAAAGAATCTGTTCCCTCACAAACATGCTGATTATTTGGGGGGGTGGCCTGAGCAGTCCCCATCCTTTGTGCTGCCCTGCAGGAAGCCTAAAAGCTGTTCCCTGCCCTGTGGATGAGGGCTCCTGTGAGAGACACAAGCAAATTCCACTGCTCAGATGCTTTTCTTATTTTTAGGTGGCTGGAAATAAGCTTTGCAGTTGCCAGCACTGGGCTCTGAAGGGCATTGTTGACCCAGAAACCTGATAATTATCCCTTCAGATAATTATCCCTTCAGAGCAGAGTGTTTTGGAAGCTTGATTCTCTCATAATTTTTACTAACATGAAACCTACTTTCTGTTTATCAGCAATTTCCTGCTCCTACTGATTATCTCTTACAGGTGCTAAAAGCCTGATGTCATCAGTGTCCTAACTATGGCAACAGAATTCTGGGAAAATTAGCTTTTTGATTACTATTTCTGCCAAATCTGCATGTGCAGCAGTAGATTAATATTTTTGTATGTCCTACTTAAAATCACTGTTGATGTTTCTCAGTAACAAGGCAGGGCTTTGCTGATTTAAAGACCCATCCTGTCGGCATGCTGAAGGTGTTCTTCCTCCTGTGTTCTGCTGTCGTGGTGGGAATTTTTCTCCTGCTGATGCTGAAGGAAAGATTTTGTGCCCAGGCTTGGCATTCCTGCCAGGGAATTTGGGGATTGAATAACTTGGGAATACCTCGGGAGAATCTTCCCTCCTGCCCTAAGGCCGCGCTGTTTGTTTTCTCCTCAGACCACGGGGCTGGTTGAGAAGTGGGAGTGGAAGAAGGAGGATGTGATCCTGCACGTGCTGCCTCTGCACCACGTCCACGGGGTGATCAACAAGCTGCAGTGCCCGCTGTGGGTGGGAGCCACGTGCGTCATGTTCCCGGAGTTCAGCGCGCACACGGTGAGCCCAGGGCAGCCACGGCAGCAGCACCCGGGCACTGCTCTCAGCAGCTCTGGGAAGGGGTTCCTGAGGAGTTCCAGCCCCTTAGGCACTGCCTGTGGGTGGTTCCCAGCAAAGGCAATTGCTGGGGTGCTCAGCCCGGGGTACATGTGCTCTTCCAGAGGGTGCGGCTCGTGTGAGTGTGGTGCTGGGATGGGAATGCTGCTCTGCCCCTCCCAGCCTGGGGGTGGGTGGGCCCTGCTGTGCCCACTGAGAGTGTTTCCATCCAGAATTGGTGCTGTGGATTTTTTTTATTTTTTTTTTACTGCCAGGAATTGTGGAAATACTGTTTTTTCTCTTGGGTGTTAGTGGTGTGCTGCTTGCTGAATTCTTTAGTGACTTGCATTTCCCAGAATCCCCAAAACGCTGAGGCTGGAAAAGACCTCCAAGGTCACCCAGTCCATCCTGTGACCAATCCCCACTTTGTCACCCAGCTGAGAGCACTGAGTGCCATGTCCAGTCATTCCTTGGACATCTCCAGGGGTAGGGCTTCCACCACCTCCCTGGGCAGCCCCTTCCAAATTTTCCCTTTCCAGTCCTACATCCTTAGTGTCTTGTGTTGCATTAATTACAGAACACAGCCTTTTGAGTTTTTTGCAGCCCAGGTAAGGGAAATCTTGGTTTTCCTCACTTACATGGAAAGGTGGCTCTTCCTCTGTGGAGCAAAAAGAGTTAACAGAGCTGTCAGGTTGGACTCAGTGATGTGAGAGTGAGTTTCCAGATCCAGACCTTCTTGTAGCTTTTAGGAAAAGTGGCAGGAGGGAAACCTTACTGGAATGATGCTGTTAAAGTGTTGCTTTCTATCTGAGCCAGGAAACACCAGTGCCAGTGTTCTGCTGTTCCTTTGTTCCCTGCAGCAGTGGCACACCGTGGGGAGAGGGGAAGGGACAGGCAGCAGTCAAGGTGGAACAGGTTCTGCATTTCCCAGCCCCTGGGATGCAGCACTGTCCATCCACATCTCCCAGTGTCCTGGGTGGTGTCTGCAGTGTCACTGCTAAGGGACAGTTGGGTTTTCAGGTGCTGCTGCTGCTCGGAGCAGAAAGGAAGCAGAGGTGTGTTATCACTGCCGGGTTCCCTGGGAAAGCCAAAGGAGCCCGTGCTGGGTGACTGCCCGGGCTGCTCTCCCTGTGCGTGCTACCCACGTGTGGGAAGGCTTGTCCCATGGCAAGGACAAAGTGCACAGGTGTGGGATACACCTGGGGGCCTCTGGCTGTGCTGCTGCCAGGTGAGGGCGGGCCCGGAGCCACCGCAGGGCCGGGTGATCCTTCACGGCTCATTTCTGCTTCTCAGAGCAGCAGCCACAGAAAATGCACACTTCCCTTTTCTGTCAGGGGGCTCTGACACCTGAGCACGGATCCTTTTAGGGGGGCACAGCCCCAGAATCTCAGTGGGGCAGCTCTGCACTTCCAGAGTGAATTGGCAGGATGCTGTGGTAGAGGGCAGGACGGTCCCTGGCTGCCATAACCTGTGCTTTCACCCAGTGATTGCTGCCAGATTGTTCTCTCCGGCGTTAGGGTGACCCCACAGGCTCGGGGTGCAGCGGGGCTGTGCTGGAGGTGCCACTGAGGGCGTTAGGGTGACCCCACAGGCTCGGGGTGCAGCGGGGCTGTGCTGGAGGTGCCACTGAGGGTGTTAGGGTGACCCCACAGGCTCGGGGTGCAGCAGGGCTGTGCTGGAGGTGCCACTGAGGGTGTTAGGGTGACCCCACAGGCTCGGGGTGCAGCGGGGCTGTGCTGGAGGTGCCGCGGACAGGCTGGAGCGGGGCCTCTGGAGGGCGCGGTGCTCCACGGCCTGTGCCGCGGTGATTGATGCTCCCTCGCCCCCCTGCGTTCTCCCCTGCTCCCTCCCCACGCCTGCGGATCGATGAGCTGACGTTGAGGGATGGGATGGGGATGGGGGAGCGGGACCCCCTCCTGCCTGCTCTGATCAAAGCTCTCCCCAGATGTGGCACCAGGGACAGCGCCGGGGGTGGCCGCTTGACCCTGCAGCTGCACTTGGGCACAGAGGGCGCCGGGGCTCCCGGGGCTCTGGGGGACCGCATTTGCTGCTCTGCTTTCTTTCATTCCCGTTATTTTTCCGAGGGCCTCCCGTGGGAGCCGCGAGTGGTTTGATCGACACTCCAAAGCCAGCACGGGAGGGTAAATAAGGCTTTCTCCTGGAGTTTATTGCAAGCTGCCTTTCAGTTCCACTCTATTTTCACCAGCTGTTTACAAAGTGCCCTTTGCTACTGCAATCAGCTTGCAGCAAAGCAGCAGTGGAGGATTTTGCCAAAGGAGCCCGAGTTTTGCCGTGTGCTTTTTTCCTTGGCTGCACCTTGAGAAAGCAGCCAATTATAGTGTGATATAAAGAAACTCGACTGGCAGCTAAAACACTTGACAGGCTGATCAAAACAAGGCGAGGAACTTACTCTCAACCTGCTGCAGACATATTTAGCCTTGAGTGATACTGGCAAAGGTTCAAGAGAAACCGCAGCAGCACGCCCGATGTGTGTTTGGTTTCTAATCACTAACACTTCATTATACAAAATAAATACTTTATTATTACAGTGTTTATTAAATTACATAATTTGCGGCGTGCCTTATAGTCGTGGATACAGATGGCAGTCTGGTTTTGGTGGTGGGAATAATGCTCTTTTTTTTTTTTTTTTAATTTTTTTTCCCTGGGAAGACGTTCCCAGCCCCAGACCACAGCTTGCTTGTCGCTCCCCGCCGTGCAGGGGTGGGAGGTGGCAGCTTTCAGACCTTTACGTCTGTTTTTGGGAGCTGTCCAAGGAAAGGTTAAAAATCAGGACTGTGGAGTAGCACAGCATCCTGACCAACATCCTTCCCCTCACTAAAACAGCATCTGATGCGTGTGGCTACTGCTGAGGCCACGACAACTCATTAAAGTGTGCTGAGGTGCCTCAAGCGTGAAAGTTGCTGCATAAAATCAGATTCTTTTTATTAAATGAGGACATCCATTACGCTGCACTAGCTACTGTACATGTTATAATTCACTTTATAGCACCATCTGTTAAGACTGTCTTGCTTAAGCTTTTCGTAGCATTTTTTTATTGCAAGTTATTAAAAAATATGGCTGCATCTATTAATCATTTATTAATAAAGGGTTTATAAATGGACCCTCAGTTTCCAGAATTAGTCGACTCGTACGTGATGTACCGAGTCCCCTGCTGCTCGTGCTCCTTGGGGTGCAGTGTCTCCACAGGGAGCCCCTGGGAGCACATCCAGTGCTCCTGTCTGTGCTTCTGGGGTTGGGACTGGCAGGGATGGCTGTGGGGGGACACTTCAGCACAGGTGGGTGTGGAGCAGGCAGGAGAGCAGCAGTGAGCCCGAGGGGTGTGCTGCCAGCAGCTGTGTGGGGCACGGCTGGCTGTGGTTTTCCTGGTTTGTTGTTCCATTGGTTTTCAAGGGTGAGAAGTGTGAGGGCAGAAACCTCCTCTGGAGCCAGAGCAAGCTGCAGCCTCAGCATCCCTGTGTGATCCTCCCTCCATAACCAGGCTGAGTTTGCTCTTCCAGCTGCACTGTTCTGTTTGCATTTCCAGCTGCTGCTGACCTGTCCCAGATGCTGGAGTGGGAATTTCTTGTCCAGGAGTAGGGATTTTAAAGGTACTTTAAAAGGTACTTTTAAAGGTGTTTGTGCAAATTTTGTGCACTTTGGTGACAGAGGTGAAGAGGTGAATGTCTCTGTTAGGGAAGGAGTGCAGGGTCAGCCTTCTCCTCCTGGCTTTTGGAAGGCTCTGAGCATCACCAAGCACCCTCTGGAGCATCCATTCATGGTGACTGCCTCCCTCCATCTCCCTCCCTGCATCAGCTCAGGCACAGCCTGTGGTGGGACTGTTGCTCTGTGGAAATGTCGGTGAGTCTGGAGGGACAGACCTGGGGGAGCCAAGTGTCCCCTGTGCTTGCTGTGACAGTCACACACTGGTGTTCCCATTCCAGACCAGGCACTCCTTGGACAGGACCATTTTGGAGCAAATGAGGTCAGTGTCTGGTTTATAGGATCCTCTGCTGTGGTTTTTGGACAAAAAGGATCCATTTTCAGCTTGAACAGCAGGAAGAGCTTCTCTCTGCCTGGGACACCCCTGATCTTGCCTTGAGGGGAAGATGTTCTAATGGCACAAGGTTCCCTGTCAGCTCTCTGCATTGATAAACACAAGAGCAGATCCTGGGAGGTCTTCCAGCCTCTTGTGCAGGGTGGGAAATAGGAGTAGTGAAGAACCTGAAGGAGGAAACTTGCAGTGCTGAGTGATGGGAGAAGCTGATGGAAATCTCCATTTTGGGTGACCCAGCTGTGGCGTGTGCTGCCCGCCCAGCTCTGCTGGGCAGCTTTGAGCTGTGATGTGCTGCCTGTGCAGCGACAGCCCTGGCTGTGCCCTGCAACCCCTTCCATGATGAATATGCCACGATGCAGATTTCCTGCCCTGCAGTTCCAGGAGCTGCTGTTTCAGTGCCAGCCTCGCTGCGTGTCTGACTTAAGGTGCTCCGAGGATCAAGCCCTCTAAAAACCATGCCCTGTTTTACAATGTCACACTCAAAGCCATCAAAACAATCTTGTTTGGAGCCTTCTTTCTAGGGAAATAGGAATGCTGTGTGCCCAGAGGTGGTGTGTGATTCAGGACAAGCTTTCCTGGTGTCCTGTCCCCCGTGGCACCTTTTCCCCGTGGTAGGAAGGAGCTGCAGGCCTGGCACAGGATGAGTGGGAGGTGTTGCTCCAGGGTGCTGCTGCATCGTGTGCTCACAGCCCTGGACTCCTGAAGGCCTGGGCTGTGTCTGGGAGCAAACTTTGTCCTTGTCACTGGTGTTGTGTGTGTGAGCCAGGCTGGCTGGTGCTGGGGCTGTCTACCTTGGCTGGGCTGCGCAGGGACAGCCAGGGCTTGGCTGTTGCCTCCGGGAAGGAGAAGCGTGCACTGCACTGAGCCTCTCCCCTGGATCTGTCACTTCTGCAAACATCACTCTGGGCAG